TTTTCATTTACCTTGTACTTTAATATTTTTGTTTTATAATGTTGTTAAATTTGATGGGTTTTTAATAAATACAGTTTACTGAGTTATAATAATGTAATTAATTACCTAATCAATGCACTAAATTTTTCAAAATATGTATAGTTACGTATTATTAATATAAAATAATCGTTACTGGCGAAATGAAAACATATATTCAGGATGAGATTGATCGTAGTTATTCTTATATAGTAAGTAACCTGGAAATCTCAAAAATAAGTAACATACGCTGTTTTTTCTGCGTGTATATATTTCAATTGGTAGGAAAAATTACCAAAATTGGATGTAATATTTTGTTAGAAAAATATTACATCCAATTTTGTTGTAACTAATGATTAATTATTTGTAGGGGAAAAAATTTTGTTCGATAATCACATATTCTGGAACTTCTACTTTTTTTTTTTATCAGCTTTTTATTATAAATCTAGCTCAACAATTACAATGGAACTTCTTCTTATATCATGTATTATGCGCAAATAAATAATAAATACACAATGTCTATTCAATCTTTTGTAAAACCAAGTATGTATCTGGTTTATCCTACTACAATTACTGACTATGGAAAAGATGTTCCTTTGATGTTTAAACATAGTTATAATTTTTCATACGCAAGTCACGTATACTTGACATGCTTTCTTTTTTTTTTTAACTGTTTTTGTATCTTTTTTAAATTTGGATAGGACATTAGCGTAATTCAAAATTATAATAATCTCGTTATTGGAAATACATTAATTTCGTGATTATTTTTACTATGTAGACAACTAATAATTCAATAGGAATAACTATCATTATTTATTAGATTTGTTTAAATAACATTTTTAAGAGAAATATTTAATGTATTTTATGGATTTTAGATCGCTGTTCCTTACCTCTGAAAACATTTGATTAACTTATTATTATGAATTCCATAATTATTAATAACATACTATGCAAATTAATGGTACATGTATTTAGAATTAGATATAAATAAACAATAATGAATAGCATGTTTGTAATAATTTAATTTCTTGTAAATTTTATATAGTATTTAATAATACAATTATTGCAGTATAATTATGTCATAATTCATTATCATACGATAGTGCTGATAACGGCGATGTGAMTTTTCACTCATCGTTATTGTCGTAAGTTATGTTTTTTTTTAGCGTTCGTAAACTCATTGATGATAGTTTTTTTATGTCCTTTACCTTACCGACTATTATGTATCCCTACATAATATAGGTATACACTTTTTATTGTGATTTGTACTCAGCGCATACTCAGCGCATTTGACATTTTCCACGGGTATCTTTTATTTCGCATTAGAATATTTGCTATAAGGTCATCTACTCTCGAACATTGAATTGAAATCGATTTAATACGTTTTTCAATTTTTAGACGAGTTCAGCAACGTGTTTTTACTCCCTCCTCTCTCTTTTTTCACGATGAATTTCTTTTCGTACATGCATCTTTGAAGACTAGTGAATATGTAAAGTCGATTTTTTTGAAATGTCACAATTACGGTATTCTGATCACGAATTTGAAATCGACGTAGCCACCAATACGTGTTTTCGATTTTCAGAAAAAAATACGTATTTTTCTTTCGTTACTTGTATATAAAATATAAATAAAAAAATTAGGTCTGTAAAATGGTATACAAATAAAATAAAATTAGTCTAATCAATTCGAAACTGAAATATTTCAAACTCATTTAGGTTTATATAGAATCTTTAAATAATGGCGTGTTATTATTATTTATTATTGGAATTTGATAAAGTTGTGTTCCTTTGTATTTTTATATTTATTGAATACATCGCTATAATTGCGACCATTATAGCTAATTGGCTGATAAAAGAAAAAAAGTTTTATTTTATTGAAATATCAAGACTAAACTTTATTTATTTAATATATAAATATTTAAAAAAAAAACGATATTATCATTGCTAATAGGCACACAAAAATAAAGTTTTAAAATTGAAGAACATGTTATAAAATATCATGTTATGAATATTTATATTTAATTCGTTATAATATATTCCAAAATAAATAAAAATTTTACGATGTGTTCATTTTTTAATTTTCCAATCTATAATATACTAAAACGGTATATATGGTATCTAGCAATATTTATATGTTGCATATTAATTCGTACGTTTTGGAAATCAATAACTTTTGTTGGATATTTTTGTCACTTTTAGTTGTATTTTAACATTATACTTCTTAACTCTAGTCCACATAATTTATTGGTAACCAATTTTTATCTGTGTAGAGATTTTAACACCTTGAAGGCGAAAAGCATACCTTAAGTATTAATTTGAGTACTTAATGTTATAAATTATTATAAACTTATAGCCTATAATGTGTTTTAACAATTTATTATGACTAAAAAATAAATAAATGGTAAACAACTATATTTGAATTTTTGAGAATAAATTTCATTTATAATTTTCATATCAACTTTTTTGAATTACAGATATTGGATAAGGTCTGTATGTTTAACAAGTTCAGTTATAAAAGTGATTGGTGTATAATTATAAATATGTAATTGTATTATCAATTATTGGTACAAATTTAATTAAAATAAACTTACCATATTTTTGCGGATACTGATGTGTGTTAGATTTAATGATCTGATATACTAATTTATTAATCCCCGATAATATAAATTATACTGATTAAAAGAGAAAGGAAATCGGATATTGTCGATTAATACAGAAACGGTATGAAAAACAGACTTGTTGAAAATAACTGGATAATTAAAATCGAATTAAGCATATCGTTAAGATAATATAATATTATGTACAGGTCTCGGTGAATTCAAAAGTTTAAAAGTTTTACTAATGAGACCGAATATTATTGCAAAATGTAGCTTTAAACACTTCTTAATTCTATTTTATTTCTGATATTTTGACAATTTATATACTCGTGGTATATTATTTTACGGTTTATTTTTATATTATCATAACAAGTTTGAATTCTTATACATAGAGTATTATTAATTTTTTATAGATTGATTTGTGTCTTTAATTTCTAATTTTAATTGAACAATAATAAACGAATAATTTCTAAAGGTAAAGGTACCTATTTACTATAGGAATAAAAGTAGAATATTTTTAGTGATAAAGTCAATATTTTAAAATAAAATAAATAAAATGATTGTTGAAGAAAATATTTATTTTGAGAATGATGTTTGAATTAATTACCATCGACCTATAAAATTAGCACCGGCGTAACTATATTATGGTTAGGGGAGGGGATTAGCCTCTCAATGTGTTAAATATTACACGCATTAAATAAACAGTATTATATCATAATTTTGACCAGTATTTCTGGGGAATAATATTTATAATACTGAACAAAGTTACATATTTTATCTCTTAGGATCTAGATGTAATATTTTAATATAACAGAATTAAAAGTACTAACTTATAACTGTTATATGTATATATCCACGAAACTTATGCTTGCAAACATTTTGTTAATATATTTATTGTGTTAATTATTTAGAGATAATTATTGATTAAACGTCCAAACTAAAAAATTGAAATAATTTTAGAAACATTTATAAAATAAAATTACCAACACATATGCAGTTTAAATAGTTTTTATATGAAAAAGCGTACAGGCAATACATATCATACTAAACATGCTAGTTATATACAAATGCAAATAAGTAAAATATAAATTATTATCGGTTATCTATACATAAATATTAAAAATTTTAATCGTTGTATGACACTAAAGTATTATCTATTAACACGCACTCTCGTCATGAACAGCGACGAAAATAAAATAACCACTTCAGTAGAAAATATATTTTCCTAACTTAACCTATGTAGGTATATTACGATACATTATGATATTGAAACATAATATTCTAGGCAATATATTGTATATATTAATATAATAATATATACCTATGAATATAATTCTGGATGCTTAATTATATAAAGTCATTATCTAAAAAATAAAATAACATTCATTGTAATATATTTTTATTTATTTTTTATTGATCTTAAGCCCGGCGACTAAGGCCATTAGATATTGTCGGGGTTATGAACTGTGGTAGGGGTAAGGTTTTGGTACGGTATGTTGTTTTTACGGTTGTTACGGTAGGTAGCAAACACGTGTATGTGTGGCAAGGTTTTTAACTACTATACGAACCCGGGTGGTCACCCATCCGGGAGCTATTAGCTGTGACCGTTGCTTACTCCCCATCGCATTCCACGATTGGTAGCAGCCAACGCGCCACGCCAAGCGACAGCATTATAATATTATATCATACAAATATGTCTTAATATGGTAATGGAATAAAACGGGATTTTTAGATTTTGGAAAATCAAYGACTACTTAACTGAAAACCAATTTAATATTATAATATACGTAACACTGTACTTTAATTATCATAAATGAAAAAATAACATAATACAATTATTTAAGGTCATTTATTATTGTAATGATGTAATTTATAAATTCAAATTCATAATAATTTAATTACTTCAAGAAACAGACATGAATATAATCTAATAGGATTTATTTTACCAGTTCCTATTGTTAACTTTCTTTCATAGATTTGTTCTTATTACAGGATGATTTACGCGATTCATACAATCTAACAATAATCACATTTGGAGGTCATATTCTAAAAACAAAAAAATGTTTTGGATCTCAGTTGTTCTTTTGTTCGCATTAAACGGTAAGTCGTTATTTATTAATAAGTCGTTATTTAGTATTCATCCATATTTACATTAATCGTTGAATCAAATATTTTTTTTATTGATCCTAAGCCCGGAAAATATTACCATTAGCTGTTTGCAGAGGGGTAGGGACAGTTGGTTTGAAACACGTATCTTACGTGTAGCAAAGATTTTATTGCTAAATTTCTTTCCGGGTGGTCACCGATCTGGAAGCTATCAACGCCGACCGGATCGTAGGTACATTCTGAAAGTGTACTCAACAGAGTGTAAACACCAAGATCAAACGAATCAAAATTTKTAATATTTTAAATAATACATATTATTATGAGGGTAAAAAATAATTTCATCTTGAGAATTTATGAAACAAATATAGCTTATAGCATATACTTTTAAGGTGTAGTGTTTATGGTATCATCGGAGGTGTTAAAAAATGAATGATGAGCTTACCTAATCATTAATATTTTAATCAAGATGTAAAGATTTTACTTAACACTAAATATTTTAATTTATTTACATCAATCTGAAATATTAAAAAATGTTCTATAATATTTTTTTTAAATATGCATTAAATATCCACTGATGTTATACCATTATACATTGAATAGAAATGTAACGACAAATTGAGATTATTGACAACAATACAAAAATCCCACTTTTATTTTTGAATTAATAAACAAAGGAGTTATATCAACAAATATTAATTTTAGTTCGTTGTTATAGGCACTTATTAGGATACTAGAATAAAGAATATTGAGACTTGATCATTTATTTTTTGAACCATTGATTGTTTTATATAAATTTTATTTAATAAGCTTAAAAAAATATTTGTAGGTATTTTTATATTAATATACATATACACATTTATTTTTTATTAGCTTTTAGTATAACTATTACAGCTTAACAGTTATATTATATACATTGTAGTTAAACTATTAATACAATATTAAATCATAATAATATTGAATATACAGAAAAAGAGAAAAAAATCAAAGAATATAATAATAAGATATATGGATTAGTGGTATTTTTATTTTGTCTTATCATTACATGTTTATTACTATTTATTAATACCTCCAATATAAATTAAAATACTCAGTTATTCCAAAAACTATAACATTTTATTCATTTCATATTATGTTAACAAAAATTATTAGTTTTCACTTTAGGTATGATGTTTTTTCAGTAGCTATACACACATAGTGTACATTATGTAATGTAGGTAACATATTACATTACATAAGTAAACTGACAAATGTTTGGTTATGTTTATTTTCCTCGAGTCAAAGCTTAAATGTTTGACTTTTGTCTTCTTTATAAAAGTTGTAACAATTTCCAAACAATATCATTAATTTAAATTAATRTCAAAATTGTTTTTGAGCATCGGTTGTCACTGTGATAAATTATTCATAACGAAAACCATTAAAATAAGTTATGGTCTCATACAAGACTCGAAGGTTTAATATACAGTTTTTTAATATGATAATCTTAGTTCAAGTTCGAAATAATAAATATTTTACCTAAGTGCAGCTATTTTCAAAAATATAATATACTKTACACAACTCGTGTTAAATCGTTAAACAACTATTAGACAAATATTTAAAATTATGACGACTAAAAAATTCTCAAATATAAAATAATAACAAAATACAAACCTAAATATTGTTAAGACTTATTCTTAATGTAATCAATTATACTTTTTGGATTTATTTGTTATATTGCTTTTTTGGTTATGTTTTATTGATTCAGGTTACTATACTAAATTTTTCAGCGCTATATTTAAGCCATTTAGATTGCAGTGTAAACCTCAGGGTTACGTGTTACAATTATAGTATATTTTTATATATTTAAGTAAAAACTTTTATAGAGTAATTTTGATTCGTTAGACTCCAATAGCAAACAAAAATAATGTGATGAAATAACATGTTTTAATGGTATATGGGCTGACTTATATAATTTGTCGAGGGGGTAGTAAAATTCAGCCAAGCTTATGCGCGTTATGAAGATAATAAAATGTTCGGCAATCGTTAAACCGCCGTAAAGTCGTTAAAGTTGTTTGAACGAGTGTTTTGGAGATAGTAAATCCTCTTTTAAAAATCATTTGATGAATTGTGACCGACTTCAGTTTGAATACTAACTTAACTTTTGGGTTGAAAATGATCCAATAACAGCAATAAAATATGACTAATTTTTTGAGAAATTCTATGTATAATGTATATTATATATATATTAGATTTAAGTTGTTCGGGAGTTCTTATTAACAGGATACGGAGTCGTGGATGAAAGGTAATATGAGTGTGAAATTTGGAAATAACGAAGAGCATCCTTATTGGAAAAATATGATATTTCCGTATGTTTAAAGTAAACTATTCAAGCTAACAGAAAGTGTCATCAATGGGTGGCTCCTTTTAACAACATTTCATGACCTGTTAACTTTTAGCATATAATCCTATTGTGTCTAGATATAATTTATGATACAGATTKTTTATTTCTTGTAAAAAAAAAAATAAAAATAAAAATTTCCGTATGTAATGTTAGAGTTGACCATAACTTAGCATTGTTTTTATTTTCTTGAATTCGATTGGATATATGATCGACAATGTCCTTTTTTCAAGTATTTTTTTCGTTTAATATCTACTTAGTATTTTAAAGTCATTTGTTATAGTTTCCAGAAGATGACAGTAAAATATTAATTAGTCCCATCGTTGAACTACCTTTGATGTAGTCGGTTCATTAAATGATCTATTGATAACAGAGCGTCAGTTCAAAAGTAGGTGAATAAAATCAAAACACCGATACGCAGGAGTGTTCCTATCTAAGCGCAACCAGGTCATTAAGTACGTTTTCTAAAAGTTGATCATATGTTTGTAACCGATTTGAGATAAAAAAAAAAAAAAAGTGAAAGAACCAAATACATTCAATCGAGATGATTTTGAACGCATTGTTATGTCACTCTTCCCCGTCCGAGGTTGTAGAGARGAAGGGGGCGTATCGATTCAAAAAATAACTCAATGCGTTGTTGCTGCTGTTTTTATGTAGGTATTAATAATGCAATGTGATATATCTTTATATTATTATTATTTAATGTAAAACGTCTGTATATAGTGTCGTACATGCCGATTACTCGAACGTACACAAATAAACGAACAAATTAATTATAAGCACTTTTATTGAACACTTTGACGTCCAGTGRCGATCGAGTCACACGATCACCACCTGGCTCTGACACTGGTGGTCAGTGGTAATCGAGTCACACGACTACCGCCAACTGACCTCTTTTCTGTCTTCACATATTCCTTAAATATAAGTTTTACA